GTGTGTGTGTGTGTGTGTGTGTGTGTGTGTGTGTGTGTGTGTGTGTGAGAAAGAGAGAGAGAGAGAAATGGGAAGGGGTATCCTAAGGGGGAACATTAGAATTGGTTCAGGGTGGGCTGGGGGTAGGGGTAGGACAATTCATCAATTCATCATACTTCTATTTCACCCATTGAAGCACTTGGGAAAATGCCCATGATTTTACCTTCGGGGTGCACATCGCATCTGGGGCTCAACATAACTATCCTTCCAAAGCCACAGAGAAATACCACTCAATGGCTTAAGGCAGGAAATAATGAGGAACCTCACCAAAACCATAGGGCAGGGGCATCCTGGTGATTTTTCAAGTTTTGGATCACACAGGACCCCTTCCATTTACCAATGATAAACCCAGCATGGCCAAATCAAATTCTCCTGAGATCACCTGATCTCTTTTAACTCTTTCCTTAAAACTAAATATACACATATGGGTGGTGGTGGTGATGGAAATCTCTCCCTTTCCAGGAGGAAAGGCAGATGAGATAATAGGGCTCCCCATTTAGATTGTAGATGTCCTGGTCTCCTTTATAGAATTTCAGAGCTAAAAGTAACTTTAGATTTCATCTAGTCCAACCTACTCATTTTATAATTGAATAAACTGAGGCCCAGAGAAGACTTGCCCAAAGTCACACCATAGTTAGTAATGGAACCAGGTCTCATAACAGCCAATCCAGACAGAAAGGCCACGTATATACTAAAATCTTCATGGCAGTACTTTTTATGGTAGAAAAGAAAAACAACCTGAAAATAAAATGGGAACTCATTGATTGAGGGGTGTCTGGAAAAATTACGGCATATGAATAAAATGAAATATTATTGTGCCATAAAAAAATGACAGAGATGATGAATCCAGAAAAACCTGGGGATATTTATAGGAACTGATGCAGAGTAAAGTAAGTAGAACTAGGAGAACCACACATACTCACAATAATGTGATCCCCTGTATCATCAATCACACAGATGAAAGCAAAAGTATAAAATGGCAGAATATGAATTAATGGTAATGACCAATCTCACATCCTGAGAACAAATGAAAAATCCTCTTTAGTTTCTCTGTGGTAACGAAGAGAGAGACCATGGATATAGAATGTGTTTGTTGAACTCAGGCAATGCAACAATTGGGTTAGCTATAACAGCTGAACTATTTTTATTTATTACCAGAGAAGGTTCAGTGGAGGAGGGGAAAGGACTATGGAGTCAAAACGAAAACAAACAAAAATTTGATGCCCCTTTCTTCCCCGTTTGATTCTTTTTTTTAAAAATTTTTTTATTTTTTATAAGGCAGTTGGGGTTAAGTGACTTGCTCAAGGTCACACAGCTAGTACGTGTCAAGTGTTTGGTCTGAGACCAGATTTGAACTCAGGTCTTCCTGACTTCAGGGCCAGTGCTCTATCCACTGCACCACTTAGCTGCACACCCCCCCCCCCATTTGATTCTTTTTATAAGAACTGCAAAACTAAAATTAATGATACAAGGGACCCCAAGTTAGACTAAGCCCTATGTACACATATACTGAGAAATACTTGAAAGGAACTTCCCTTTGCTCTATAACCTTCCCCTCCATCTCACCACCACACAAAAAAACAGGAACTAATCATCCATAATGCAGTTAATTAACAACTAAATAGCCAGTAACATAGTTCTGATTCACACGGATCTATCCTGGCATAGATCTGAGGGCACGGATTGTGAAAGAATGCACCGATTTCTTCATAAAGCAAGTAATTTGATCTTATCAGGTGTCCGGAAAGTCAACCACTGTTAACATCTCTTCAGAAAACCTCTATTCCACAGATATCAGCCCCTGATCCTGAATTAGTATGACGTTTGGTGCTTCTGTAAAAATATCTAGCATTTTGTTTTGATATAGAGTGTCATTTGGTCTTGGATGCATTATAGTACAATTTCTGTTGTGGACAAAGGTAAACTAAACCTTGTGATTTGTTATACAAGGACACTTTCTATTTAGGCCAGAGAACTGAGGTGGGTGGCATATCACACATCATCAGTGTAAGAACCTTCGAATGCAATTGACTTGAGGAGGCAGCAGAAAGTAGTAGAAAGGACATTTAATTGGAGTTCAGGGGCTGGGGTTCAAATCCCAGTTCTGTCACTTGTGTGACCTTGGATAAGTCATTTAGCCTCTCTGGGCCTCAGTTTCCTTATTTGTAAAATGAAGGGATTTGACTAGAGGATCTCTAAGATCCATTCCAACCCTTTATCTATGATCTTATGAGTTTGAGGGGTGTCATTTCTAATCTATGGTACTGTTTTCCCTCTGTAAAATGAGAAGATTGGGCTAGCTGATCGCTGAGGTCCTTTCCAATTCAAAAAGTCTATGAGTCTGCGTCCTCATGTGACAGAACCACCTTAACAAAGAAACTCATATTTTGGGGTTCCCTTTTAGGGAGTATTGGGTAATTCTCACAGTATTTTCCCAGGGTCAGTAACATGGGACTATTTTGACTTCCTTTGGGTTTAAAGACCGTGTTCAAGCTCTCCAGTGATAAGCTTTTTGAAAAGACTCTGTGATATGCCTGTGTCTACCTTTAGCTGTAGAAGTTAGAATAGTATGTCACTTTTTGAGTAGATCTACAGAATTTGGAAGAGCTAGTAATAATCTGTTGCTAAACTCCAAAAATGTGTTGCATATCTAAAGCATACAGGATGGAAAATATAGCCTTTGGATATCTAAGTGGTTCCTATAGTTTAAAAAAAATCATTACTGTAGTGAAAGAAAAATGGAAGGAAGGAAGAAAGAAAGAAAGAAAGAAAGAAAGAAAGAAAGAAAGAAAGAAAGAAAGAAAGAAAAAGAAAGAAAGGAAGGAAGGAATGAAGGAAGAAAGAAGGAAAGAAAGAAAGAAAGAAGGAAAGAAAAAGAAAGAAGAAAGAAAGAAAGAAAAATACCACCACCTTCTAGGCCAGGGGTTCTTAAAGTGGGGTTCATAGATTCCTCTCCCTCACTCCCACTAAGAAGTTTAAGAGGCCTATAGATAGATTTCTGTGGGGTTTGTGAAGTTGAATGGGAAAAATATTTTGAGAACTGCATTTTGATATCATTGGTTTCTTTTGTAATTATTCTAAAAGGAGTCTTTAGGCTTCATCAGACTACCAAAAAGATCTGTGACACAAAAAGGGTTGAGAACCCCTGATCTAGGCTGAACTGGGGCAAACCTTTCTTTTGTTCCAGTTAAGAGCTAACATGAAGCACTTTGCACACTATGCCACACGCAGCAAAGCTCCTGCAAATTATATTGAAGCATACCTACCCAGGAAAAGCTAGAAAGGGTGGTCCACAGAATTTTATGCTGCTCTTATCATAAACAGACTTGTCTTCAACTTCTCTAGGGAATGCAGCACATTTCTTAGAAAAGCAGTTTAGAAAAATGAATCAATCAAACTTTAAACTGGCTATAAAACCTCAGAAGCCATTGAAGTTTCATTGGAGGCACCAGCTCTGAAATCTTTTGAAGCCAGCTGCCCTTCCTTTGTAGGTGAGAGTGGTGGTGGTCAGTTCCAACCCCGTGAGTTATTTATACCCATAAATATGGTCATTAGGCTAGATAGAAGTGGATCTAAAGTGATCTCTATCCTCTCATTCCCAAAGACTGCACACATCTCTATGCTTTTTCTGAAAGGAAGGCTGAAAAATTGTGAAGATCACAGGGAAAGCAGACTTGGTCACCTCCATGACTATGCAACACATTAAGAAAGTATCTCCCTTGTTCACCAGAGGGTCAGGAGATCAGGTGTTGGATGTTAGTGGTCTCTACAAGTTCTGCAGAAACAGACTTCTGTGTGGAACTTTTAAGTGTCTGTTAGTATATGGAACAACACAAAGGTGTGTGAATTTACACATTGTAGTTGTGCCATGAACATTTGTGGGATTAGGACAGAATCACAGGATGTTAAAACTGGAATAGATCTTAGAAATCATTTAGTTCGGTGCCCTCATGCTATAGCTCAGGAAACAGCCATAGAAAGGTGGGGTGTCTTGCTCAAAGACAATGGCAAAGCTGGAACTAAAATCCTGATCTTCTGGCTTCCAGCTTAGTACACATTAGTTGATAAACATCAGCTGATCATTCAATAAGCATTTATTAAGCACCTGTTGCTATGTGCCAAACAACAGGCAAGGTGCTGGGAATACAATTACAGAGAATGAAACAACCCATCTTTTAAAAGAAGTCTAATGGAGAGTGTTAGCATGTGTGTAAATGTATCTGTCCGTGAAGGTAAATAGGTTCATATAACATATTTTAATATGAATAGTATCCATAAAGAGATTTTGTAGTTTGGTTATCCATGAATCATAGTATCATAAATCAAGAGACTGGAAGGGACAGCATAGGATCAAATCAAAGGATCATAGATTTAGAGCTGGAAGGCATGTTACCAGCCATTGAATTCACATACATATAGATGAAGAAACTGAGGACCAGAGAGGCTAAATGGCCCCTGAGCATACTGGCAGTAAACATCAGAGGAATTTGAGAAAAAGTTTCTGACTCCAGAGCTAGTGCTCTTTCTATTGTCCCAAATTATATAGACTTAGAATTTTAGAGCTAGTAGGGACTTAAGAGATTACTAAGTAAAATATCTTTATTTTATGGATTGGGAAATTCAGTCCCAGAGAGGTTAAGTGATCTGCACCAGGTCATACAGCAAATTAGAATCAGAGCTTACACTATAAACCTTGTCTAATTCCCAGTCTCTTACCATTACACCACAGCATAAAAACATGTAGCATTTCAGACCTAGCTAATATCTTTCTAAACATAATCCATAATCTTTTAAAGGCCATATAGTTTTCCCTGAGTTTCTTGTAGAACTGCAAGATGAGCTACATTACTACTACTACTGAAAAAAAATCTAAGTTAGACATGCAAATCAAAAATCCATGAAATCAACTTTTAAATCATTCACCTGTTTGGGAGTTAGAGGTTCACTCTCTTCACGTTATGACTTCAGTTCTTGCCAGAAAGACAATGTGTATAAAAGGATTTTTACAGCATTCTCTTTGGGTAACGTTCTTCCACTCTGTCAACTTTGTTACTCTCTGCTCAAATAGATACTTCTCCTTTTTTTTTTCTACTGTTCCCCTCCCTGATTTTTCAATCTGATTATTTGTGTCAAAATCTGGCGGTGAAGAAACAGCCAATGGAGAGAGAGAGCTCAGGCTGTATTTGCTTATCAAAACTTTCCAGGACTTAAGAAACGGAATTCTCATTCCTAGTCCTCAGCCCCTTTTAGCAGCAGCAAGCCACCCTGTTTGCTTGAGTTCCTGAAAGTTATTTAAAAAGAAAGTCCTGAGGAGTGACAAACTGAATACAACTTTAAAAGAAAAAAAAAAGGACTTTGCATCAAACTTGTTTTAATATAGAAAACTAACATAATGCTTCTCTTTCTTACTGGGAAATTAGTTCTTTTCCTTTTTAATCACACAAATATAACAATGCTGCCATTAAATATGTGAACTATTATAGTTTTACAAAAAAAAAATCCTCTGGAAAATGGGAGTCACAAGCTCTAGATCCTACCTCTAGCTTGCCTGCTAACATGGGCAAATTGCATTCCCTTTCTGATCCTCAGTTCCCTTACTTACAGAATGGGCAGGAAGAAAAAAGATTGGATTTGATCAGAGGTTCTTAATTTTTTTGTGTCATGGACTCCTCTGGCAGTCTGGTGAAACTTGTGGACCTTTTCTCAGAATAATGCTCTTAAAAGCATAAAATAAAATACCTAAGATTTCAAAGGAAGCCATTATATTGAAATAGTTATAAAAATATTTTCCTCAGTTAATAGTATTTTTTCCAATTACATGTAAAGACAGCTTTCAACATTCACATTTATAAGATTTTGAGTTCCAATTTTTTCTCCCTCCTGTCCCTTCCTCCCTCTCCAAGAGAGCAGTACGATCATATTCAACATATTTTCACATTAGTCATGTTGTGAAAGAAGAATCAGAACAAAAGAGAAAAACCACAAGAAAGAAAGAAAAAAAGAAAAGAAAAGAAAATAGTATGCTTTGATCTGTATTCAGCCTTTATAGTTCTTTCTCTGGGATGTGAATAGCAGTTTCCATTATGAGTCTTTTGGAATTATCTTAGATCATTGTATTGCTGAGAAGAGCTAACTCTATGAAAGTTGATCGTTGAGCAATGTTGCTGTTACTGTGTACAGTGTTCTCCTAGTTCTGCTCACTTCACTCAGCATCAGTTCATGTAAGTCTTTCCAGGTTTTTCTGAAATCTACCTGCTCAGCATTTCTTATAACACAATAGTTATAACACAACTTGTTCAGCCATTCCTCAATTGATGGGCATCCCCTCAATTTCTAATTCTTGGCCACCACAAAAAGAGCTGCTATAAATATTTTTGCCCACGTGGGTCCTTTTCCCTTTTTTATGATCTCTTTGGGATATAGACCTAATAGTGGTATTGCTGGATAAAAGGGTATGGACAGTTTTATTGCCCTTTGGGCATAGTTCCAACTTGCTTTCCAGAATGGTTGGATCAGTTCACAACTCTACCAACAATGCACTAGTGTTCCAATTTCCTTTACATCTTCTCCAACATTTATCATTTTTCTTTTTTGTCATGTTAGCCAATTGGATATGTATGAGGTGGTACTTCAGAGTTGTTTTAATTTGCATTTCTCTAATCAATAGTGATTTAGAGCATTTTTTTCATATGATTATAGATAGCTTTAATTTCCTCATCTGAAAACTACCTGTTCATATTCTTTGACCATTTATCAATTGGGGAATGACTTGTATTCTTATCAATTTGATTCAGTTCTCTATATATTTTAGAAATGAGGTCTTTATTGGAAACACTGGCAGTAAAAATTATTTCCCAGCTTTCTGCTTTCCTTCTAATCTTGGTCGCATTGACTTTGTTTGTGCAAAAACTAAAAATATTTTTAAAAACAAGTTCAAATATGAAAACCCTAATGTAGATGATACCTGAGGTTCTTTTCAGCTCTCCCATTCTATTTTAAAGCCCCACAAGCTCTGACAATCTGTCTTCTAAGAGATCTTCCATCTTTGACATTTTTGGTTCTAAGATTCTTTCCATTTTTGACATTCTATGTTCTAAGATCCCTTCCTGCTCTAATATTTTATGTCCTAAGGTCCTTTTTAACTGACAGTTTATGTTCTAAGGTCCCGTGATTCAACAATTTGTAATCGGTTTTGATTATTGTTGTTATTTGTCCTTTGTTTTCGAAGAGGACCAATGACATTACAGGGTGATGTTTTGACTTGCATTGGATTTAAATGAGACAGAGTTGCACAAAGTCATCAGCCTCACGCTCTCTTCCAGACTATTAAAAAAAATATTACTCTGTGAAAGATATCACTCTTAAGAAGAAACCTTATATATAAAAATTTCTAAACTCAAGTGCACAAAAGTAGTAAGATGTCTATTCCTAAAGGCAAACATTCTTCTGTCTTAGTATAGGGTGATCCTCTGCTCTACCTTAGGGAGCAGATACATAATGGCTTTGCAGGGGTTTTGGTCTGGTAATATCACACTATTTCCTAGGAACTGTTTGTGAGGCCACCTGGTGGTGAAAGAAAGAATGAAAGAAATGCATCTTTTCTCAACCGTAAGTGTGAAATGCAGAGCTATAGATGTGTTTGATAACATAAAGAGTTTCTATTAATCCCTAGAAAGTCTTCACTTTGTCCTATGAAACAGGAATTAAAGGGAAAAAGTTCTTGCAGAAAGTTTAGCTGCTGCACACTTAAAGTCTCACACTTTGGCAAATATCTTCCTTTTCCTCATTCTTAGACCTCCTCTTTTTTCCTCTCCCCCTTCCCCCTCCTCCCAATACCTACTGGCTCATTTATTTATGTAACCGGGTTTTGCATGAAGTAAGCTGTTCACAAAACAGAGGACTGTTAGGCTGATTTGCATCATCTTAAACCTGGGTGTTTGAGGGATTATGTTTCCCTTACTATGAAAACAAGCTGATGACAGGAAGCCCCAATTTAAACTGGAAGTTCAAGATTTTATGTAAAGAAGAAAATGATGAATTAAACCAATAGCAACTTTGATTGATAGTTAAAGGGACTGAAAATGGAGTGATAGTTCAGTTAAATCAAAGTTTTAGTTCTAATAAAGGATGACAGCAGCGATATAAGGAATAAGTTAGGGGTTTTTTTTCAGAATGGGGGAGACATGGGCATGTTTGTAGGCAATAGGAAAGGAGCCAGTAGACAGGGAGATATTGAAAATAAGTGAAAGAATGGAGATAGCAGGGGTAAGAATATGTTGAAGAGAAGGGATGGAATGGGATCATTTGAACAGGTTAGCCTTGGTAAGGAGTATGGCTTCTTCAGCAAGTGAGAAAGGAGTGAAGGAGGAGAGAGTGGCAGGAGGTGCAGAAGGAGATGAGGAAGAGGAGAGAAAAGGGAGTTCACAGAGATTGGCCATAATTAGACCTATTTAGATCAGTCACTAGGCTAAATTATGATGTACAGGTAAATTTGAAGATACAGTTACACAAGTCTCGAGATGACAATACTAGAGATTGCCCACATGAAAAGTACCTCGCATATAATTATTTATATTTCCTGCTATACATGTGAACCATTTCATGTTTGTGTATACTTGTTGAAAAATTTTTTTTCTCAAAAACAAAAAAAATTCTGTTATGTTCTTTTGACTGTTTTGTGCTGTTCATGCTATAGCAATGTTTGTTAATGCTTATAGTTAAGTTGTATTTATATAGGCTTATTAATAGTTATTGTTGCAGCTAGTTAGCTTTGCTTCATTAGTCATGCTTGTTGCTTTTGATTGATTGCTGTGTACTATGGATACACATGTACTTTTGAAATGTGCCTGTTGTATTCCTGAATGTAGTTAGGCATGTTGTCACTGTGGTATCCACCCAGGAGATGCTCTGCGTAGTGCCATGTCTGCCACATGTACTGTTAATGTGCATTTGTTTTATTTCAGTTTCAATAGTACTAAAGGTTGATTACTTGGGATACCAGGAAAACTATCCTTGTTGTTTTAAAGTGCTGATGATTATGTTTATACTATATATTTAAGAGTTTGGGACTTGTTCCAGATAATTTTTGCAAGGGACTGAAAAGAGTTTGGACCCAGGGGAGGAATGTAACCCCGGGGCCAAAGCCATTTGGTATGGGACTCTATCCTCATTGGTGAAGATTAATACCCACTTCTGGTGAAGGATGGGGCAGAGTTGGTGAGAAAAGGAGAGAGAATGAAAAGAAAGCTCTTCAGTTCTCTTCAGGCTTTGAGTCTTTAAAGGCATTTCTGGCTTTCAGTTTTAAAAGAGAAGATGGAAGATGCTAAACCCACTTCAGGTTGCTGATGAAAAAGATTCTGGGAAGACATGAGAGGAGCTATCAGTCTCCATCATGTTCCTAACCCCAGCTAGTTACACTAGATGCTTCAGGGAACATCCCCTTGGGTAAAATTTAGGACTGTCTCTCTCTCCGTTGAGTTGAATTACCTTGCTCCCAAAGGAAGAGTTCCTTCACTCTGCATTGTCTGGTATATATTTTCATATGTATACTTTCTCTGATTTCTATTTTGCTACTCATATATAAGTAATGGAATCTAATTCATGAGAATGAGTCATTCCCCAATTGACAAATGATCAGAGGATATGTATGGACAATTTTCAGATGAAGATATTAAAGCTATTAATAAGTATATGAAAAAATTCTCCAAATTACTAATTAACAAAACGTAAACTAAAGAAACTCTCTGAAGTTCTACCTCGTACCCATCAGGTTGGCAGAAATGACAAAAAGAAAAAAGACAGTTGTTGGAGGAGTCATAAGAAAACAGTGATGGTAATGCATTGTTGTTGGAGCTATGAATTGGTCCAGCCATCCTGGAAAGTAATTTGGAACTGTGCCTAAAACGATATATACCTTTAAATCAGTTGTACCAATACTAGGTCTCTACTCCCACAAGAGTTTAAGGAAAGAGCAAGAAGACCCATATGTACAAACATATTTCTAGCAGCTCTTTTT